TTTATGTCTAGTTTTGTCGTTGAATCCAAAATACCTGCAGTGAGAATAATTCAGTTGTTTTTAGTGAGGATTAACTGAGTGGAAAGATAATAATTCCTCCCATTTCCTGGGTGTTACACAGGAGTATTTCTGCACCAAGTCTCATCAATTTCTTTATATCTCTGGACAAAAAGCTAATTTGAGGATGTTATCATGTCTGCTTGAGATATTATGCACCATCAGTGCCCTGCTGCAGTCTGTGCGTGTGTGCAGGTGTGTGCATATTTGACAGTAAGTAAATATGTATATTTACACGCGTGGATGAACTTACCTCACTACCACATCCGATTGCTCTATGTCCCCCAGGCCGTTGCCCTGTTAACAGTCATAATTCAAGGACGCTCTGTGCAGCACCAGGTCTTTATTTGCCTTTCATGTCACCATACGTTCATCTGTGGTGACTATGACAAACAAACACCACAAATGTACTTGTCTAATACAAATCATTTAGGAATAGAAGGTTTTGATGAAACAAGTGTATTATTTTGCTATTTTTCCAATAAATTTCTCCAATAAATTTGTTTCTCTAAAACCAATTTAGGAAAAAGGCAGCAATCTAGTGGTAAAAAAAAATATTTTGATAATTTTGGGGAATTTTATTTGTAACTTATTGAATGACAAAACTTCTGGCACATTTCGGCATGAAACCTTCATCAGAACACATGACAGCTCTGAAGTCTTTGTAAATGACACATAATGCAAACAACAAGAAAGCAATTGCATTTGCACACATTCAAGGAGATCACAGCAGGAGAAAATGTAATAAAGAAAGAAAAAAAGGATAAAAATAAGAAGAAATTAATTTGGGGCAAAAAAACATATTGCTGTCCTTTAAAGCAGGCGAAGTGCACCTGTTTCCTCAGATGTTTCAAATATTGTAATTTGGTCTAATTTGGCTACTGCGTATTTGTGGTTTTATCTTTTTTTGGTCATTTAAATACATGCATTGACACAGACCAGTCAATGAAATGTACACATGTTGTTAAGAGACTGCCACTGTGTAATTAATGATGCTATGTTTTTCTATGATACATTAAGTCATCAACCTGAAGTGAGGGTATTACTTTGCTTTGATTTGCTTCCTATTCCTGAAACCCTTACTCTCGCTTTCACTTTTTGACAGAAGTCGTCTTACGTCTTACTATGTCCACTTGGTTAGCTGTTGGTTTACCACAGTTGTTTTTTAATCTGTTTTCTCTATTCTCGTGTCTGCCTGCCAATAAACACCTAACTGTGTGTCTCAAGTTAGTTAGAAATGGAAGAGTATCTGCTCTGTTGGTTTATTATCCGAGAAACGTTTTTTTTCTTTTGGTTACTCTTAGTGGCGCAACTGCCGTGTCAACCGACTTCTTCGAAGTCTTTGACTTAATGCTGGATTACATCTATGCAAATGCTACAACAACAGACAGAGAGTTTGGTTCAGTGCTCCATTGGATGGGAGCAGACGGAGCAGTGAATACGTTTACAGTTAGGAAAAATGCATGGATAATATATGCAGGTCCATACAGTTTTAGAGTTTTATATATGCTGTGTTATGGTATTGCATGTGCTCTGCATGACTAAGATGATTTATGGCCAAATATCTACAGCGGCACAGTAGAATGAAAAGCAGATCCCCATTGTAAATAATGGAGAACATTCCCGGCTGTGTTTATGTTTGGTTGATTGTTCAAGATTCATGTGGTCTCTGTCTTGTGTGTTGGGTGTTGATTTAGTAGGATTCAATGGGCTGTCACTGAGCCAACCCCTCCTACAAGCAAGCATTTATAGACTCTTTGGGTAGAGACTCAGCTGACAGGCATATATTATGTGCTCTAAAGTGGTGAATGCCTCTAAAGAGTCATCCGTGTAGCTGAGCTGCAACTCAACTGTTTAGAGGGAGGGGGTAGGTGATAGTGGGGTACATTTTAAACAATTTATCCTCATCTCAAGAATGAATTGAATTTTACATATTCATTTTAGCACTGGCAGCTGACACTCAAATGTCAGTATTGCCTTTACTACCAACCGTACCAACAGTTTTTAAACCAGTCCCTACAATTCCCACACATTGAAAACACATTTGAAAACAGAAAGGTGACAAAAGACAAATTTTAAGGTTTTAAGCATCTGCACATGTTTCATTTCATTAGTAAATAAATTGAAAATACACACTTGATTGGGGTAAAATCAAACCCTTTAGGATACCAGTAAGATAGCATGTTTTGTTTCTGTTGTCAAGGGAAGGGTGGTGATCAGTTCACCTGGGTGTGATAGTTTATTGACATTTCCCATATCCATTCAAGTCGCATTTCCATCCAGTAAATTTGTTTGAGATTCTCTCAGCCAAAAACATTGAAAGACTAAGATGATCTTAGTCCAGTTATAAGTCTACAGGCTAACAAATTAGTCCTAAATATTCTCGCAAAAAACAGAATCATCATATTAATCAGTTCATTAAAAAGGTAAAACAGTGTCCTTGAACACAGCACACAACTGTACAGGTGGGAATAACGTCAAATAACACAGTGAGACAGCCAGGTGTTATGTGTGTGACTGCCAGGTGTTCTGTAATTATTTTATGGTAACACATTGTTCTCTGATGTGTTAAGGGGTTGATATTATAAGCTGTAATTTCTTCTCAGCATACACCAGTTTGACCTGTTAGAGGAATAATGGTTCAGAAGTCTTTATAAGCAGATACATAAGCTGAGCTCTGAAACAGAAACCATTACATTTTGAATTAAGTCTGCGCTGCATTATCGGTGCCCTGACCTGCAGATCACAGGAAATAAACGTAGAGTGACGAATCAATTCTTTTCTCATCCACACCATATCCTTTTCTCCTCCTCTCTGTGTTTCTCTCTCGCTTGTCTCTTTGCTGCACAAACCCTGTCCATCTCTCACCCCTTCTTGTCCAGCCTCCTTCTATTTTTCTTGACCATGGAACGTGTCAGTTTGCTTCCCTTCTGTGCTTTAGAGCATCCGACTCTTTACCCAACAAGTCTGGTCTGTTTTGTTTCCAGGCTCTTTATCCTGTCTCCCTGCTCTTCTCGATTTCTCTTTCAGCTGTTGCTTGTGTGTGTTATTGTGTGTGTCTGGTGATGTCTAAGTCTCACAATAATTTGAGTCAGTAACCTCACTTTGTTCATTCAATTAATCCTCTGAGTCTTAACAAAGACAAATCCTCTCCTTCACTTTTTCTCAACCTCTGTGAACAGATAAGTCTTGAAATGTATCTTTCCCTCATGGATCATCTTTCCCACAATACCGGCCTTTTCTAATCTCACTTCTGCTTTTACCTTTGTGCTTTATAGCTCACCTGCTCCCTCGCTGAGTATTTCTGTCTCTCTGACTCTCTCTGTTTTTTCTCCCTGGGTTGAATCTCTCACAGTGATAAGTGCTCATTAGTCTTATTTGTCAATACGCCTAGTCTGGTATCAGATCTTTTTATCATTATTATTATTATCCTTGTTTACCAAATCGTTACATAATATAGATACAATTTTTACCTCTATCATTTTGTTTCAAGGATTATCAGACAGATTATTATTCTTGTTTTCTAAAGGTCTTGTCCTGTAAATGTAGTTTTTGACATAGGTTTGTCCATTGACAATCCTCAGAGTTTGTAAAGGACAGGTGGTGATGGACCAAATCTCACACTGCTGTAAGCTTTGGGGCTTGTTACTTAGAATTATACTATACATCTATATTTTTAGATGACAGTTTGAATGTTTAGTTAATCCAACTGTTGTAGCCCTGAGCAATGAGACTCACCACAGCCTCCCTTGCTTGAAAGCATGTGGACACTCATAAAGTTTATAACAAATAAGCTTTTCCACTTTCTTACCAAGAGTAAGATGAGAACATTGACACCCCTCCCATATTAGCATGGCAAGTATGAAGCTGCTACCAACACCCCATTAGAGTAGCTTAGCATAAAGACTGGGAACAGTGGGGGGCCGTTGCCAGGCAAACAGTAGAGACTCCAAGTCATTATTCTCTCAGCAAAGCGACCCCCCTGTAAAACCACAACTTGTAATTTTTCACACTTTGGCTTTGTACAAATTAAACCAACAAGATGTTAATTTGTGAGCTTTAGAGGTGCTGTTGGGCTGATTCTATCCAGCCTAGCTGTGTCCCCCTGTTTCCAGTCTTCTAAACTAAGCTAACAGGGTGCTGGCTCCAGCTACATATTTTAGCGTACAGTCATTAAAGTGGCATTGATCTTCTCATCTATATCTCGACAGCAAAGCCAATAAGTGCATTTCCCAAAACCTCAAATAATGCTATTAATATGCTGCAACATTTTTGCATTGATTAACATTCATTTGAGCGTATTTTCTTTTGCTATAAAAAAAAATACATATATATACATAACAGATTTATCACTGACAGTCATGTGTGCTTCTCTGCTGGTTAAGGTCTTTTGAGCACAAACAACAGCCTAGCTAGGAATGGTTACTGAAAATTAGCATGCCTATTTTTTGACTACCTCCTCACATAACCTTCACCTTGTAGGCTGTATCGGCATGGCAAGCCGTTTTAACATTTAAACTTTAAAATGTACTACTTATTTATTAGTTACTAGTAATTATTCTATTAGTTACTAGTAACTATTCCTGTCTTACTAGTAACTAACTACTCCAATGACAGCCTCCATTTTTTTGGAAAGGTAGCTCCCATTCAGCTACAATACTATTAGAGAGGTCTGATGTTGAAGGCCTGACTTGCAATTGCCGTTGAGTTCTTCCAAATAAAACTTTTGGAACAGGAAAGGACCTTCCTGAAAATATTACTACAAACATGTACACACAATATTCTCTAAAAATTCATTGTATGTTGGGCGTGAGGATTTCCCTTCATTGGAAGTGAAGGGCCATGCCCAAACCATGAAAACCAGCCCAAAAGTTTTACTGTATACCAGCGTTGAATATGAGCATTTTATGTGAATTTGTGTGTGTTTGTGTCCATTTTAACAGGACCCCAGGTAACAAACCAGGCAGCAGTCCCAGAGGTCAGACCCCAGATGAGACTGGACGCCGCCACGATGCTAACTCCTCTGTTTCTGATTTGGCCAACTCAGTCACCAGTGACATGCTCATGGTAACACACAATGTCAACACAGCATAGCTACTAGAGATTTTATAGATATGCCACTAACTCATCCGTGGTCTGTCTGTTTTCCACATTGCTGAACTTATCTATATTAAGAGGAGCAGGGCTGCTGTCAGCAAAGCCTTTTAAATCATAATAAATGAGATGGCTAAAAGACTCGAATGGTGCTTCCAGATGATCTTTCCTAATCTAAGATGGAGGTTACATGCATGCCTTGAGACAAGGAAGGAAAATTAGTCAAGGGTTGGATGAAATAATGTAAAAACCTAAAAATAGGACTGGAACTTATTAGTAATCAATCACCATTGTAAACACTGTTATAATATCAGAAGGGAGTCAGTGACAGTGGGGGTCCAGGGCCTTGTTGATGAAGCCAGCTGCAGATGGGAGAAACCGTTCTTGTGGAGTGAGGTTTTGGTCCTGATGGACTGTCGCGTCATGCCAGAGCGGAGTGTCTGGGGTAGGAGGAGTCAGCCACCTTAAGGCGGACTCATCTCCACCAGAGATAAGCCAAATGAGGGTCGTGTCATCTGCAAACTTCAGGAACTTGACAAACTGGTGGCTGGAGGTGCAGCTGTTGGTGAACAGGGAAAAGAGTGGAGGGGAAAGAATGCCACCTTGAGGCTGATGGTTTGAGAGTCAGAGACATGTTTCCCATGTTTATGTGCTGCCTCCTGTCAGGCAGGATGTATATGATCTACCTGCATGTGGAGTCAGGCACGCTCAGAGCTTGGGAGAGCTTGTCCTGCAGCAGAGCTGGCGTGATGGTGTGAAAGGTGGAGCTGAAATGCATAAACAGGATCCTGGCATAGGTGTCTGAGGAGTCCAGGTGCTGGAAGATGAAGTGAAGGGCCATGTTTACTGTATCATCTACAGACCTGTTGGCTCTTTAGGCGAACTGCAGGGGGTCTACGAGTGGGTCTATGATGGATTTGAGGTGGCACAACACAAGGTGTTGCCCCACAAAAATGTATTACCACAGAGGTCAGGGCAAAAGGGCAGTAGTCATTAGGTCCTGTGGTGCTTGTGTGGTCATTGTGCGGTAGCTGTGGCTCAGGAGGTAGAGCGGGTTGGCTGTTAATCTGAAGGTTGGCAGTTCAATCCTGGCTCCCTGGTGGCTGTTCCGCCAGTGTATGAATGTGTGTGTTGTGTTAGTTTCTGTTTGAGCACTTAGGCTTTGTGTGTGAATGTAGTGTAAAAGTGCTTTGAGTGGTCGAAAAGACTAGAAAGGCGCTATACAAGTGGGGAGCATTTACATTTGTGTTTTTGGGGACAAGGTTGATGTTGGAGGATTTAAAGCAGTCTGGCGCATGGCATGTCTTCGGTGAGGCGTGTTGTACGTGAACATTTAGTAAGTTATAGTAACTTTAATTAAATTTAGCAGTACATACAAGCAGTCCAAGAAGTCTGTGTTGTTTCATTTTTAACTTGTAGCAGCTAATCTTCTTGTTTGATGCAGTTTGGATCGCACATCTTGACAGTTCATTCTTGACACTGGAAATATCCGTTGACAAAACAATGTCCATTCACGTTCCACTTACTCTCCGTATCACAAGTCCTTTACCAGCAGAGGAATTCTACTCAGTTTTCGCAGGAATGAAGCAAAGCATTAGCTCAGGCAGAGCACTGACGTTGCGGACAGCTGTTTCCTACATGCTTCACAATGACTTACTGATTTACTGCTTCATGCCCAGTAACATCCAATAATATTAATGCAGGAGTATGCAGCCATTATAACCTTATGCTTATCACTGCTAGTTTGCTGATACACACATGCTCTCTCCTCCACTCCAAGCTCTTCTTCATGAGGTATGTTTGGGCATTGTTGATTTAACTAAGATTTATGTTCATGTTCTTTGAGGTTTCTCTCAATAAACAGAGCCTTTTCTGAAAACTGATGAGTGGAGATTGTTTTATCAAATGAATGTACAGTTTTTGCTTTGGTGACATGGCCTCTTTGCTGTAAAAACTGACAGATCAAATTGTTGATTGATCAGCAAGTGCTGATTTATGACAAATACTGATATTTTGCACTGTAACTAAAATCACCCACCTTTATATCAGCATTAGAGTTCAGCGTTCAGTGTTGTTATTCCACCTTCTTACAGCTTGGGACAATTTTTCTAGTTTTGGCCATTACTTCTATCAGAAAAAAATAACTTTACTTATCAAATGAATTGCTGAGATCTGGGAACATGGCAGCCATGCTAAAAATGTTGGGGCCAGAAACACAAGCATTCAGACAGTCATGTGGGTTTTTAGCAAACTCCCAGCTTAGCCAAACTTATTTGGAAGATAAAATGTAAGTGTTAAAATGGTTTTAGTGAACTGTTGTCCTGCCAGATCACTTTTTTCATAACTTTTCATAACAAAATAATACCAAAGTTGTAATAAAGTCATTTTTTATGAGGTGTTTGCATTTTTATGTGTCTATGACCTACTGTAAATAATACACTGTGTTGGTTCTGGAGACAGTGAGAACAGAAAGCTCACTCAAAAAGTACTGTCTTCATCCCACTCGGCTCACCCACCTGTAGAGCACCACGGTTAGTTTTACAGTTAAGAGTATCTCAGCTAACTGAAACATACAGTAATCATCACCCTGAAGTGAGACAGTGGGAGGGAAGGGGACATGCGCCTTATCCAGCGAGGTTTGGTAATTAGCTGTGGAAGGACCCACAGTGCTGTGGTTGCAGAGATGGGTATGAGCAGTGTGTAATTATGTGGGTCTCATGGTGTGTCTGAGGAATTCCCAGTGGTGGTGCTTAATGATAATACTCATTCTGGGCAGTTTTGCCAAAGGCATCTATATATTACACAACCCTCCTTTCATGTTGAAAATACCCATCCAGTGCTTGTGAGCCACTTGTGCTGCTTTTGGAAAACCATGGCATATATGCAGACTTTATTCCATAGAATATATTGAGAAAAAAGGATGCAGAGAAATGGCCTTGAATATCAGGGTATATAAATACATCCAACCCTTTCAAGAGTTTCAGGTGATAGTGGTTGGGGGAGGATGGACGTGGGTCCTGTCAGAATCACATGCTTCATTTTATTGTGATGCTCACAGAGCCATGGGTTGTGGAGTGGGCATGTGTCTTTATATGTGCTTTATTTGTTTAAACGATAAGGCAGAGGATGTTCTGTTTTGTTTTTTGCAAATCCCATGTTTTTAATAGGTTTTGGCCAAAGGCACAGATGAATAAGCTCGGTCAGTCATTAACTAGATAGACAATACTTATTAGTAGAACCTTAAAAGTATACAAACCTTGCCACCTGTTTTGCTCCAAGAGAATTTGCATCTACTGCATGTGGATTGTTTTAGTTGCAGATAAAGAAATTAGAGAGGAGAATTTAAGAAGTGGAGAAGGAAGGACTCTGGGAAAAGAAGAACTCCCAACACAGAATGGGGAAAAGCAATTTAGGCCAGCTGTTGGGTAGAGGACTGCATAATGAAAAATGATCATATTCAGCATGGAGAATGAGGCTAAGCAGCACCATCAGAAATGTGTGGGAGAATATGGAATTGGATATTATATTTCTGGTGCTGCTCCTTCAGTAATGCTTCTAGCTCCTCCTCCATCAGATAAACAGGATTTCCTTCCCTCCCTCCAGGCCACGCCACCATCAGTCAGAGGGTCTGTCAATCAACACATAATTTGCTTTTATCACACAGCAGACAGCAGCCATGTGACATAACATTTAGGCTAGGTTGCCAGTTAAGAGCTGTGTTTTTAAATGTTGAAGTGCAGAATTAGTGCCCCCTGTGGATTCCAGGATTCCTATTTAGTGTGATACCACCTGTCGGCGCTTTTGAAAGTGTGTAATCTGTGTGTAAACATGCTGGGAATATATCCGAGTTTGACCCAATGGTCTGATAATAGTGATGCAATTCTCAAGGTACTACATTTTGTATACCCGTACAATCCACTGCTAGTTCATTAGGTACATCTGCTTAAAGCTTGTGCAGTTTACATACAGTCCTGTTTTTGTTGAGACTGTGTTAGAGGAGACTAATTTAGAGTTGTTGATTCACTTCAAGGGTGAGCTTGAAGGTGCATTCTTGACCTTGGAAATGACAGCTGACAAATCTATCTCAACTCAAGGTCCACTTACTTGTGTTGTTCTGGAGATTTTGATCGAATCACATGGTCTTCATCATGACATACTTAAAAATCTATGCTGAGAGTCGTTTGGAGTGGACATACAGGTGCTGTGAGCTGGGCAGGAGGCAGAAAACAGAGTGCTCATTGAACAATGCAAGCAAACTGAGTGCTCCTTACTTTGGAACCAAGACCTGAGATAAACAAGCAAAGAAAAAAATTACTTAGCAGTTTTCAAGTTGCGGCCATGATATGTGTACCACTAGTGTAAACGGACAATCTGGCACTGACACATACACACAGGGAGAACAAACAGGTGATTGACAAAAACGCTAGGAAGGGAAAACAGAGGAAACACCAAGGCTGAGAGGCTGGTACTGCCGGATCATGACAGACATTAAGTTTGCTCAGTTGCTATAAAACTGGAGATGTTCAAACTTTCCAGGATTCTGAGGAACTCTAGTGCTGTATCCAAAATCACTCTCTCACCTACTCATTCACTACTCAGTAGTTTAATCTATAGTGAGCAGTAAACTGAGATTTCAGACACTTTTGAATCATCATAATTTCGTCATTACTGAGAGATGAAGTGTTGCACGACTGTAATTTATCCCATATCCCACAGATGCTACTTTTCAAATCCACTAAAACTCATGGATAGTTTGAACATACACAGTTCTGTGAAAACTGAGCAAACTCGGTCTGCTGATGAGGATCGTGTGTTGCGGTCAAAATCTCTAGTACATGCAAGTATTTAGATATTGAGTTGTTTTGACAGCAACTTTGTGGTCATTTTGGAGGCTGCAGGTTGTGGTGCTGTTGAATGTAAAGTGTTCAACTGAGAGGTGTTTTTAATATTTTGTCCACCTCATTTAGCTGTATCACAGAAGGTAGACTAAATATTAGAAACACCTCTTACAAGCACAATCCAACAGCACCAAAAAATTTTGTTAAATATGTTCCTTCAAACAGAGTAATGAACCAATACATACTGCTTCCATCACAATGTAGCTAAAACCACCTAGAGTTGAATAAAAAGAATAGCACAACATTTATCTCCTCTTCCTCCTGTATTTCTCAGTTGTCTCCAGGTTCAGAGGAAGATGATCATGAGGGTCCAGTGTGTGAGAAGCTGGGTCGTATTCAGTTCAGTGTTGGATACAGTTTTCAGGACTCCACCCTCACTGTCAAAATTCTCAAGGGCCAGGATTTGCCTGCTAAGGACTTTTCCGGCACTTCTGATCCATTTGTCAAACTCTACCTGCTGCCAGACAAGAAGCACAAATTGGAGACCAAAGTCAAGAGGAAGAACCTAAACCCCCACTGGAATGAAACCTTCCTGTTTGAAGGTTCGATGGAGGAGACTTTCCTAATACCTTAACCATGAACTTAACAATGTTCACTGCACATGCAGGCACTCTTAAGCTGTTTATTTTCAATGTGCATCACTGTGACCTAGCAGGACTGTGTTGTGTCAATTTCTTTCTCAGGATTCCCCTATGAGAAGGTGGTCCAGAGGACTCTATACCTGCAGGTTCTCGACTACGACCGCTTCAGCAGGAATGACCCCATAGGAGAGGTGTCCATCCCTCTCAACAAACTGGACCTGGCCAACATGCAGACTTTCTGGAAGGAGCTGAAACCATGCAGCGATGGCAGCGTGAGTAAGAAGGAAAGGGGGAGGGGAGCAAAGGAAGGAGAAGGAAAGAAGATGAACAGGGAGGAGAGGGAGGGGGGAAAGACAAGACGGGACAGAATGTAATGGGTGATGTCATTCCTGGCTGCCGTGATGCTCCCAGGGGAGATGTGGCAGTGTGCTGGTGGGTGAAGAGATAGAAGGGAATATGAGGTTGACAGGTAGATGGAAAGAACACAGACAGCCAGAGGACAAAACAGAAATACACAGTATGCAAAAGAAGGGAGAACAACATGAAAAAGGGATTTTTTTAAAAGTCAACAGTTTCACTGTCTTTGTGCATGATTTCTCCAGGGGAGTCGAGGGGATCTGCTGGTGTCTCTGTGCTACAACCCCACAGCCAACACCATCACTGTGAGCATCATCAAAGCCCGCAACCTCAAAGCCATGGATATTGGAGGCACTTCTGGTATGAATGCTACTTTATCTCCAATGTATTTCTGTTGTTGTCCTTCTATATCATTGCTCCTTCAAAATGAAAATGAGAAAATTTGTGTGTTTTATTCACCACTAGAAAATGACATCAAATCCATGAAAGCACACGAACTGACATTCAGTTTTAGTAAGCAGGAATGAGATGTTGTGAACAGCATGCAAACTGGTGTATATTTCCTCTCATCAGACCCCTATGTAAAAGTGTGGTTGATGCACAAGGACAAGCGCGTGGAGAAGAAGAAGACAGTGGTAATGAAGCGCTGTCTGAACCCTGTTTTCAACGAGTCCTTCCCCTTTGATGTGCCTGCCCATGTGCTGAGGGAGACCACCATAATTATCACCGTCATGGACAAGGACAGGCTCAGTCGCAATGATGTCATTGGAAAGGTATCTCCATCCCTCTTCTTCGCTTGTTCTTCTTCTCTTCCTGTTACTCAGTCTCTACTGACCCCTGCTGGAAAACGCAGACCAGTCTTCTGCATTGTAAATTATTAATTATCGAACAAATTAGAATTAAATTTACAATTAAAAAAGTCATTTTGAGTCATTTTTGAATTTAGACTTACACCAATGACCAATTAGCATGTCATGTACGCAAATGCAGGTGCATGCTGTTATATGTATTTTTTTAGTTAGTTGGTTGTTGTAATTATTTCTCAGAATATGTCCTGGAAAAAAACTTGAAAATGACAAATAGTTAGGTACTGCTTTCCAGAACAATTTCTTTGATAGAACTGCTCCATTTTAAACACAATAGTAATTTATTATTGGAAACTTAATTTGTCATATAAGTTCAACTGTATGGCTTCCTGTAGACAAAGTCACATTTGTACATGTGGAGCTGAGCTGCTGTGCACTGACTGAAAGAGTCTAGATTTTGCTATCTTAACAATTAATTAGAATGAATTCATTGGAAGTGTACCAACTTAAAACTGTCTCTGCTTCAGCTATAATTATTGCCAAATTAAATTGCTCTTTTCAGGAAAATCCCATAGAAAGTAATTTGGATTTACAGACCTGTCAAATAAAGCATTGCCTGAGTTTCTAGTATTCCATTATTTAATCCACATCAATATTATCTCATTACAGATTCATATATTAGAGTCAACTCAACTGTAACAACCGTCCCAATTGAGCTATGCACTTCATGGATGATCTATTGTGCTCTCTGTCATTCACACACATCTACAGTAATTGCAGGTGCCTCCTAACCACATAAACTACCTACCTGCATACAGCAGCCATTATATGTTGCCTATTATACCACATTCATAAATAACTTGAAACTGGTCGGAGGACAGAATATTATTTCCTGTGACATGCACAGAACAGGAGCTTCTATCTACATGAGAATTACTTAAAGACTCTGTGCTTGATCTTCATTAGTGTCAGCATTAGACCTTCTCAGAGTATTTCAGCAAGTGAAATCTCTCTTTTCTTTTTCTGCTCTGGATTTGAGTTAAATTCCGGCAGGCTTAGCGGTGAAAGCAGGGCTAGACTTAAGACTCGTAGGTTTTTTTTACTTAATACCCCCCAGTTTTTGTTTGTTTGTTTTTTTGGGGGGGTGGGGGGGCTAAGGGTCTTTACATATAATATCAATCCCTGTGTACATGAGTTACATTGACTCTCTCTTTCTCACAGATTTATCTCTCATGGAAGAGTGGCCCTGCAGAGGTAAAACACTGGAAAGACATGATGGGTCGCCCTCGTACTGCTGTGTCCCAGTGGCACGCTCTCAAGGCCTGAGTTACCCAGCGACCAACCTGCCTATAGTGTTTCCCCCACTCAGAATTCAGCATCAGCATTTCAGCCCCTGCCCTCAACCCATATCCCCTCCTCCCCTAACTTCAGTCTCGGGCTGCAGACAATGTGTGTCATCTCTTTGTTCTCAGGCCTCTTTGATATCCTCTGCCCTTAGTCCTCATGACACCATCCTTAAATTACACCCATGTCAAGTTTTGATTCCCACCTGACCCCCACCCTCTCTCATCCATTTGTCTGAACTTAAAAAACGTCTTTAATGTCCTCACTCACTTCCTCCTTGTGCCCTCTTTCTATGAGATTTCTTTTCAAGATACCCTTCAGTCTTTCCTCCACCTTGTCAACCATTCCCAGTGTTTAACATCAGAGCAGTACATTTTGCCACCCATGAATACAAACTACCAACCAAAAATGGATCAAACTGGTATTCCAACCATCCGCTGTGGTGGCAAGACGGGCTGTGTTAAACCATGCACCTAAGTGTGAATGGCACTGATCTGTGCGACTCATTTCCACCTACATCTGGTGTTGCAGTGCGGAATCTTTTCTCCTCCTCTGTTCAAGTCCTCTTCCATTACTATCACTATTCCTCCATACCCTTAAAATGCCTGAAAAATCAGGAAAACCGACACAGGCAATGGAAAAGTGATGGGCTGTATTTAAAATGGAATTAGACTGGAACTGGACTCATTGTCACTAAACTCTTGTTTGATCTTTTTCACTTTTCACTCTTTCTCTGGCACCACTGTAATAATTCTCCCTTGGCTGGAACCCTTCGTTGTCTGTGCGTGATGTGGGTGATGTGCTGTAACCCCAAATGACGTTCTTCAACAGATTAAAAGGAAATGAACATGAACATTTAATGCTGGTCCAATAGGGGCAAGTGTAAAAAAAAAAAAAAAAACTATTTTTTTGGAAAAGAAATCCCGATGGACAGAAAAAAAGAGTAGAGTTATTAATGTTGTGTTTTATTTTATTTTTCCTTTTCAAAAGAACTTAGAGAATCAACATGTTCTTCCAGACACAGAAAATAAGCAAAAAGCCAGCTTCCATAAGTGTGGAAGTGTGGGTTAATGTGTGTGTGTGTGTGTGTGTGTGTGTGTGTGTGTGTGTGTGTGTGTGTGTGTGAATGAGGGAGTATTTAGGACAGCTAAATTAAAGATATTGTTGAAAACAGCATTGCCCTCAATAATAATGTTGATAAAAAATAAAGTATTGTTAGTGTTTGTGGTGTTGAAGTTAGTTGAAGACATGGGGAGGTCACTAAGGTTAAAGGGTCCGTCCAGCCAAATCACAGACACACATACAGTACTGGGGACATATGTGGTATAAAGCCAAGAAGACAGTTTCGGATGTATATGTCATGGGTATGATCCCGTGAAATCACTGCTGCCACCCCAAATACAAAGGAGATAAACAGGATTACATTGTGGTGCTCTCTTCATTTGAAATAGCTTTTGAAAATTCTAACAGCAGCATGTCTTTCCAGAAACAATGCTCTGGGCTATCAGATAATCCACAAACCCCTCAGTGAATAATTTTCATTGGGGCTAGAAGAAATTGGTGAAGACAGCTGAAGTCAACATGTGACAACAACATCAATTATTTGAGCACAACAGACACAATTGCATTCATCTCAATCACATTCGGGTGGTGGGAGAAGTCTCAGTGGTACCACGGAAACTAAAACTGAAACTTTCTGCTTGGCTTGATTCCACTAGGGGTAAGTGGGCAAAACATGTTTTTATTTTCATGACCAAAAATGAAAACCTTAACTCAAGGTCCCCCTTACTACAGCTTTTTTTATTGCTCATGTTTTTTCAACCATATCTCACAGTTTTCCTTGCACACAGTGGCATTGCACCAATACGCACCAAGCTCAAGACATGGGTGACTGGGTCAAAAGCTACAACCTTCCCTGAGGAAGACCAAACAAAAATCATCGTAAGCAAAGACTGCTTAGCATCACTCCAAAATCGGTTAGTTTTGGTGAGGTGCCATGCTGTGAATGCCAGGAATTGAACAGTCTATGATTTTTATCCACCGCGAGATCTCAGATTCAATTGAGCAATCTCCATCGACCAAGAAGGTCCACGAGGTGCAGTCAAAAGGAAACAGCAAGAAATATTTTATGATTTGACATGAACTGACATAAAAACCAGGCAGTAAATCAGCTTATGAGTATTAGAGATGGTGATATGTTGGGAAATCAGATCTAGATGAAATCAATCAATCAAAATGCATCTCTGTCACCCATGTTATGATGTTTCCAGCAGTGGCATTAATCTGTGCATTAAACAGGCATTAAAACACTAAACTTAGCAATATGAGTCCACGGACCTGATTTTATGTTGTCTTGGGGGCGTTTGAACTAAGTACAAGTCAGTCTTCCAGTTGTTTGCTTCACTGCCTGAACGTGACCTCCCCCAAGTCCCATATAGGCATGCACTGATTGGATGAATGGAAACAAATGACAGTAATAATATCGGGGTGGGGGGGTGTCTTTTTACATTCCACTGTTTGTCTTTGTCTACTGGATGTGTGTGTGTTTGCACTGTGACTGAGTGTCAATATTCAAACTTTAGTTTGTGTGATTGTATTTACTGTGAGTCCCTCTGTATGTGTATATATCTGCACTGAGTTCTATTTTGCCAGTTTAATACAGAACATTGTTTACTGTTTTTATTCTGTATGAAACAATCCAGATGTACAAAGAAATATGTTTTTTTAAAAGTTGTCACTTCTTTAAGAATCACTGCACTTGCTGATGACGATGCTGGAACAAACCTCTCTTCAAAGCAGGGCTATTTTTTCCTTGGATTGGAAGGAGGCAAATATGTTATAGATGAACTGAGAGTGAAGGTCAAAGGGAAAAAAATGTCACAAACAACCTTTGCAACAAGATAAAACCTGTCTTCTTTGACTATCATACAGGACATTCATTTTTAGTATAGTACAGGAGCAGCTACCCATGTTTTGTCCTATCTGTCCTTCTTATTTGGTTCGATCTAATTTACCAAGACCAAAAAAAAAGAAAAGAGTGAAGGGTGGCACCGAAACATCACAGCTGACATACCCCCAAAACACCCCCGTCGTGCACACATGCTTTCTGGCACAAAGTGTTCTTTGTGTGCCTTATAAACCCTGCCACGCCTTGCTCTTCACCATATGCGCTCTCTCTCCAAGTGTCAGGAAGGGAGAGGGGACAAAAGGTGAGAAAGGAGATAATCATCACCTCTTTGCATCACTGTTAGCTACGTCTCAGGTCAGAGCAGAGCATCCCAAAATAACCAGGAACACAGTCATCTGTCTGTCCTGATGGCCCTGTTTGTTAAACATGTCTGAGTGCTGTTGACAAAGCATTACATTCCAAAGGCTTAGTGAAAGTCACTTTAATCAATGCAGGTTAAATATTGGTTAAATAACAGTCAGGGTTTGGTATATTTTAGTTTTAAGAAATCGAGCTAGATATGTCTGTCTACACTATTCACTAGCCAAATGCTATAAACTGGTAAATTTCACTGGACAGGCTCGCATTTCTGATTTAGGGCATTCTGCTTGAGACAAAGAGAGGTTAACCAGCAACATTTTAATTTATATACTGTACAAATGATTGTGAAGTGTCCTGTATGAAAAAAAAAATCATCAGTATTTACTGGGGTTGATATCTGTCTGTCCTTGGTATCACTCAGCCCCCTCTTTCACTCCCTCTTCTCTTTGTAGTTACACATCCGTGGGGTGCACAATGTTAAATATCAACCATTTATTTTTTTGAAATCTGTACAGTGTATATAAAAATATAAATGTGTATATAAAACAAAGATACTTCTGGTATTGTTATGAATTTTTTAAAAGTTCGTTTTTATTATTGCTTCTACTACAACAAAAAAGGGTTAATTCAATGTAGTCACTTCCACACAAAGGCATAAGTGGAAGAAGAACTCAGATCCTTTACTTAACTAGTACCATTTATAAGTGTACCATTTTGCAATTGAAATGATTCAAATAATTTTTACCTCAAACTCCAACTACTTATATGAAATGTAGTGGAGTAGAAGTATATGGTGGCATACAATTACCACTACTGCATGTAGGATTGATGCAACTCAACATACAACCCAAGAATGCAATTTCAAACCCTGTGTAAACTGGGAGGCTATAAGTGCAGTTTTCATCTAAGAAAGAGAGGTGCTGCTAACTGCTACCGTCAGTCTCAGTTTAGTCAGATTTTGGGTGTTGATACCATCAATTTCTTTTGTGGAAGTCTATTTACAAATCCATGGACCAACTGATAAAGCCACACTTATTAAAGACACCGCTGGAAATGCATAACCATATTTGCTCTCTATTTTCCTCTCTTTTCCAGCTCAGGCAGAAATAACAGGGCCAAGATTTCAAGGGTAATTAACATGGATCTTTAGAATCGGTGCTGATCACTACAATTAAGGAAATTACCTGCTCTGCCTCCTACACACTACATTTCACTGCATCTTCTACAGAAGATAACATCTAAGAGGAAATAACTGTGTGTATGTAATGTTAAGAAAGGGTGTTTAATTTACCAACTTATCTAACATCCTCAAAGTTGAACCTGGCAGAAGTAACTCTTACCAGTGAGAGCACTCCTCTGCTCACGACTCTCCAGCAGACATGGGAAGACAAGATGAAGGCTGGGGATGCTGGTGGTGGTGGAAAGAGGGAACAAGAGAACATGAGACTGAAATTCCAGGGGAGCAGAGGGTGACGGCAGGGCTGAGGATAAAACAGAGAGCTGTCACGACACAGGAAGCAGCCGTGGAGGATGACAGGAGCGCTGGGCTACAGATAGGCACAGTGGGTGTGCGTGGGCAACTGATGAATATACACTCTAAACAAGCCTCAGAGCAATGAAGATGTGAATTTTGCTCCCTCTGCATGTGGGATCCACAGGTGGTGTCTTTTTTGTTTTCTTAAAGGCAGGGAAATTTGACAGCCAGCAACTGACAATTCAGCTACAGCCAAATAAATTGTAGTGTGTAATGCAGGTCATTCACAAACACAATTTGATGAGTCTTGAAATGTAAAGAAACAAACAAAACAACTGAGACTGATATGTATAATTATTTATTCATTCATTTATATATTACTTCATTATATACATAATTATTAGATTGTTAAAATGGATGTATCAATGTGTAAGCAGTATTTTACTATTGTAGTTGGCTGGGTGGAGCTTGTTTTAACTACTTTACAATTAGGTATTTCAATCCATTGATTCCCAGCCTAAGCATTAGGCACTTTCCAAACGGTTACAAGATAAATCTGAGGACTCATGATGTGAGATAAAAGAAGAAAAAACCTTCTGCCACACATTTGTATTAATCTTTTGGATATTTCACTAATCTTTGCTCTCTTTTGCGATATATTGGATAAGTTTTGCTCTTCTGGCTTTACTTACTGTAATCTCACTTTGGTGGTACTACAACTCATAGCTATCTGAAATGTGACAAAGGACACTAACTAGACATTGCTTTTTTGTAAGGGATCACAAGACAAAAATGTTATGAAACACTAGACAATGCTGGACAATACATTGTATTTTCACGGTAAAATTTTAATCTTAAAAGTAACTAGTAACTATAGCTGTGAAAACATGTACTGTAAAAACATTTGTAGAGTACTTTAGTACAGTACTTGAGTAAATGTACTTAGTTACTTCCCACCACTGATTACAATAGATGGTGAGACAGATGGCAGAAGAGCAAAGAACACACAGAGGGGAACCCTTCTGACATCACCATGGTCTATTTTAGGATAAACTGAGAACATAAAAATTCTCACTCAACATATTTTCCGTTTAAAATGACGACAAAGAAAATACACATCAACATTGTTTGTGTAACACCTAGGCAGTGGATGTACATTATTATTCCATGGGCATACACAAGCAGGCTTGTCGTCTGTTTTGAGATTCTGTGCACATCTCCTGGCCAGAGGGCATTTCCCTTCTGCTCTCAGTACAAGGTTCCACTGAACTGACATGACACATAGCCAGGCAAGATTTTCCCCCATAGCCAACACACACTGATCCAGTGGTGGTGGAGGAGAGAATTATGACCTTGTGTTTACATGGCTTTAAGAAATATATATATATGTGTGGTTTAATTGGAAACTCGGCTTGACAGAAAATTTCACTGATGCTTTGTCTCAAAAAAGTTGTAATGAACACACAGCCTATTCCATGTCCAACGACTCTTTTAATCCTTAAATGCAGTAATGTGGTAATAGTAAGGTGATTTTTTTCTCAGGCAGCTGGCACCTCAGATTTCATAATCTATAAGCCACTGCATAAAGGTTTTCAGCAGAATGCCATGCAAATAAATATGGCTGCTGTATACTGATATCTTCACATTGTATCCTGCATGAAAAAGAAGGTATGTGAGATATTTTACAGAGATATAAAGATTAGCAGGTGCCTCTAGTTGACAGTCATAGAAAAGAAGGTGATCTGCTACCACCTGGTGTCCATGTCCTGATACTGCAGACAACACAATCATCACATAACAAATACTGTTGATAGTGTCAATCATGGCCACCTCCAGAGTGTGATTTATCCTCTGATACATTAAAAATTGTAATGAAAGAATTGACATAAGCAGCAAAAAACAGTAGAACATCAACATTTATTAAATAACTTTATATCTTTAATAGGCACAACAGAACCCAACCATGGCAATTCAACAAGCTCCGCTAATGAGTGAGTCAAAGTGTTTCTGTTTAATTGTCTAGTATAGAAAACAGATAATCACCATGTATTTATATATCAGAGCTGGCTTGTTCAGTATGCATACACACTGAGCAGTTTTAACTTACACTCTTGAATCACAAATTTACAGTTATGTAAAACATATAGAACACTGTCCAACTGTTGTGTTGCATCAATGTTAACCTAATCCACAAACTTCTCTCAACCTCCATGAATTTCCTTCTCCCTATATCACCTGGCTGGAGTTAACAGAGGAAATAGTGGACACTTATTTTGTACACTCTGCTGTGCATAACTGAAGAATCACGGCTGACATCTGAATGATTTTTTTTTGATAGGCTAGACACAGATATTTCACCCAGTGCCCCACCTAAAATGAGTGTCTGAGAAGGTCTATGGGTCACAGGCCTCATTGACCTTCCTTTTCCAGGTACTCCAAGCTTGGTGCATCTAACCTCTGTTCATGGTTGCGATTCTTTGTGAACTCCTTCAGCATATCCATGACCTCTCCTTGGTAAACCTCAGGGGTGGGGTGAGCTTCTGTAAACAAAAGGAGAACAGGTTTAATTCTTCTTCTTAAAGTTTCCAACTTTAAAATCTTTATTGGGGGAAAGAAGTGAAATTTCAGATTCTTTATTTTATACAACAAGATTAATGATGAGACAGATGGCTGAAGAGCAAAGAACACACAGAGGGGAGCCCTTCTGACATCACCTTGGTCTATTTTAGGACAAGCTGAGAACATAAAACTGAAAGGCTGACGAAGGCTGATTAATCATGATATTTTGCTTTTGATGATAATAAGAAAGAAAATGCTTGTCAATATTTGTATTTGTTTCATATTCTAGTAATGGCAAAAGGCAACTGTGGTCCTCCAAGGACAAGAGACAAGATATTTGATTCTTGTGTCCCATAATTGTAATGCCTTCCTCATCTCTTAACAGCTTAGGGCTCATTCAAGGCTTTTAAATGGGAGACTTGTATATCTATGACCTTTGAAATTCTTTGTTTGTTAACTTCAAGATGGATCGAATAAACAGTTTTTTGTTTCAGTGAAGAGTGACCGCCTGCAACAGTTTTTATCTGTTTTTTCAGTGTGGTGCTGGCAGATGGATGTGTTGATGCTGTTCTCACACCAATTCTTTTTCTCATCTGTTCTGCACATAGAAACAGACATATAATTGAATCAAATTAAGAGAAAATTAGAATACTAAAATGACAAGTTATACTGGGACAGTGAATGAGTTCCCAGGGTGAAGTCCAAGCCACAAGGAACAGTTAAAAAAAACAGCAACAGATTTGAAGTTAATTTGTAAGCAGAGCAGGGATTTCATTATTTCAGCATCAGCAGCCATGAATGTTTGCCAGTAAAAAAATAAAAAAATAAATAAACTAGGCCTTTTATAATTATTGTCCATGGAGTTTTCTACATTACAGACTGAATTTAAAATGAGAAAGTCAGATTTCTCTGACGCTATTAACACAAAATGAGTCAGAGCAAATATTTGCTGTTTGCAATTTGTATAAACATTAATATTGCAAAGCTGAATTGCAATGTTTTTGTGTTATTACATATTCAAATGTTTTGCAGTGAGAATCATAAGTACATCCAAATTCCCTTCAGTGTCTGAAATGTCTCTTGACTGGAGTCGATCTGCTGGCAGCTCACTAACTTGTGATTTGCTTTAATGTATTATGTCTATTGTAATGAGATTGTACAGTCAATGTCACATGTCAGAGGAGAACACTGTCAAAGAAAAATAACTATTCTCTCACCTGTTGCCCAGTAGTAGATGTCCCAGTCATTGCTTGGTTCATTAATCAGTCTGTCATACTGCTGCAGCTGGTTCTTGCTCATTGTGTTCAGGTACCGCTTTGCAAAAAGGCTGCATGAGAGACGGAGAATTCATTGGAGTCTTCTCCAAATGGAAAGTCATGGTTACTGCAAATTTTCTGAGCGGCTGGTAAATGGACTGCTCACTGGGGACTACTTCTTCTTCTGTGGGCTCATTCACAATGCATTACAGCCTCCTTCTGGTTTTAGTCCTTGTGAATGTCCCGTTCTTCTATTGTTGTTTAATTAGTCCAGTGGCTCCCAAAGAATTGCCATAATCTACGCTCCCCACTACCTCTATAAAATAGTTTTTACACTGATCTCTAATTCACCCAATTTCTGTAGTTGTGTAATAATTTCCAGCCTTTCTACTGTACACTTCCTACATGATAAAAGCACATGGTTTACGGTTACTGCCACTATGACCTGTGGGATGTTTTCCTAAAATGAAAAGTGTGCTGTTAAGATTACTACCGGTATGTCCAATTCTCACTCTGCTCATTGTTGCCTGCTCTTTCTTACCCTTTTCTGCACTGTGAACCAGAATTAGAAAGTGGTACAAAAGAAAGTTTGAAAACATCACCAATATGGCTAGATGGCACACACTGACACACACACACGACAGAAAACCACAACAGTTTAACAACCTGAGCAAAATGCAGTTCTCCAACATGCCCCTCTTGCGACTCTCATACAGCAGGCGGCGCCTCTTGATGTCAGTGGGCTCGTCGGGTTTCTCCTCCCAAGGGGGCAAAGGGATCTCAATCAGGTCACCTCTGGTGTCATCTGGTGTATCTCCACGGTAACCACGAGATGGTACCAGCCCCATGACTGCTGGTCGCCATGCTGCCTGGCACACCCCCGCCACCAGCTGAGAGGCAACAAACACATTAATTTGAACAAACACCAGTACCTTGCATTGTATTGTATCTTCCGATACATGTGATGAGTCAGTTGAGATAATTCGCTGTGCAATCAGTTCAACGTGTGTTTAAAAAGGCATTGCTGTTGCTGAGCCCTTTGATTGCCCTAGTCGATTTTAATACATAGACTTTATTTTGTGTAAGATTATCATTGGGACTTTTACCTAAAAGCATTGGTGCTTATTCAGCAATGAGGTGCATGTCTGAATGGGGCTTTATAGACAGAGATGACTTTTTGTTCTCAAATGTTTTACTTTTATAAAGCTGGAGTCTTACAATTAACGGTAATTAAGGGTTTTAGGGACTTTGGTCTGCTGATTTGTCCATTAATTTTATTTTTACTGTGACAAGATTGTGATAGGCCTACATTTGATAATAATTAATGATAATAATTATCATGATACAATTTTCCTCAATAACAACATAACAAATAAAATGAAATGTTTTGACCATTTCGCCCAGCCGTATATCAACGTAACACCATGCATAAGTATCAAATTGAGTCTGCTGTAACTCTTTACTTGTTTATATTATTAATGCAGCTCACAGTATTTTCAATTACATAAAGAACATAATTTAAAAGAAATATGCCGATACAGTTAAAACAATGAGAGCAGAGGGAAATTGCATAATATCATCACCTACAACTCCTGGATTGTACAACTGTCACCCAGCAGGTCATGCTTTTAACTCAAGGGCTAATAAAGCTACTGAGCCAACGAGAACAAGCTGAAGAGAACAATTCACGCCATTTACTCACAACATTAATATGAGGTTGTTAACGTTAACGTTACATAATAGTAATATTACATCACATTAAATCATTTTAATTTGGGGTTACATCATTCGAAAGTCCTCGACGAGCTTTTAACGTTAACGTCCCGAAAGCTGTGGCATACAAACTTCAACCAACAAGTACAAATAAATGTAATGTTTACTAGAAAACTCACTCTTTTCGCGATAACAGAAGACAGCATGTTGGCCCTCTTTCTTGAGACGTTGAGAGACTTCCAGCTGAAATGTGTCTCTGCCGTGGAAATGTTCCTGTTGTCTGAAAGTCAGACACACAGCAGCACACGGAAAACTAACGAGGGGGGACAGGAGGACACAGCGCCATATTGCAAAGGTAACAGTAATGTTTAGCTATAAGAAAACACATTTGCGTCGACGGGGCATAGTTAACCGTTATTACTTAATTCGTATATTCCTGTTATCTCATATAATCAATTTAACTAAAAGTATTTTCCTCAGATCATTTCATTTGAACGGGATTTACCATAGGAACCAAATAGTGTTTGTTGTTAACCGGTAAAATATTCCTGACGCACTGCAAATGTTCAGTTCACGTAACGTAGCAACATTAGCTTTAGCTGATCAAAGAGCGAGCCTACAGTAGGCAGGAACTATTTGAATGTGTACTAATACATGAAAAACCTTGCATGTATTTTCAAAGTGTTAATTAAAATATTATTTCTTGACTTCTGTCCGCTTGTCGGATTCTCGGTTTGTCATCCTATTTTGTTTTAACATTAGGTACCGTATCAATTTTGCGAACTAAAGCGGAATGTTGGTTAACGTTAGCTAACGTTAGAAACAAGGCGTAACGTAAACAAACAAATCTATTCACTGTGCACCTGTTGTCGGTAACGTTAACTCATGCACTGATAATTTGCGTGCATGTGCGAACAACACTGAAAACAAACAACAACAAAAAACAAACTAGCTGCATTGCCGTCAACTGGATCATCTTAGGCCCACGGGATGGCTGCTGCAAGACATGCAGCCGGACCAAGTACCTCCAGGAAGGGTCTCATAGATATTTACAGTGACTTGAATCAAAACGACGAGGTGAGTCTGACGTTTCATAATTTGTGAGGGTAGAACAGCGGTGTGAGCTACTTGTGTGAACTGATCACAGCTGTTTAACGCACTCATATTTGCAATCAAAATTAAACTACAGTCCAGGATTTCTTTATTATAGACTCAGGTCAGGTATAATATCACTGAAGTCCATCTTCTTAGAAAAGTCTCCATCTTATTTTGAAGTTGTGCTATCATACGTGCCAATTAAAGTACTTTCATCTAGTTTTGTAGTTACATTTTTTCTGGCAACTTCAGATATCCCCCAGAAAGTGCAACGAATTGTGTTTTGTAACAACTAGTCTGTGAGTAGAATAACAATATTCTTGATATTCTATCACTATTATATCAAAATCCTTGTAGTAGTGGGCAATACCAGAAGAATATGGAAATAATCCGCAGCAATTCCACACCTCCTGCTGCTACCACTGCTAGGATTTGTATTTTGGCTGGCAGTGATTTGTTCATAAAAGTTTATTGTGTTGCTTTTTTTCTATCCCACACAGGATTTGGACAGAATAGCTGAAGCAAATGAACTTTTTGATGCAGTTTTGACTGGCTCAGTCAATCAGGAAGACAAGAAAGTTACTACAAATGTGGTGCCTCTTAAGGAGACACCAGATAAAGAGGAGGCTAAATCACCAGTGAAAAGTCAAAAAGGAGGAAGCTCACTGAGGAGACTCGCTTTATACATTGGAAATTTCCCCTGGGTGAGTAACACCCTCTCTGTACTAATGTTGACTACATTCTTTTGTTTTGTCCATGTGGGCTTGCAGAACATTGTTTAAATCCCCCTATCACAAGAAAATTTAACAAAATGAGCAGTACTGATGCAACATGATATTTTTGTTTAAATAAATGTGTTCAAATATCTTTGATCTGGTTCTAAACTGCATTCCTCCTTTAATTAAAACACATTTTCATGTCTGTGTAGAGTCATCTCATTTCAGGTACAGGCAGGTGATAGCTGGTACAATGGTGGCTGGTGCAATACCTTCATACCTTGGACAAAGTGATGTTTTTTCAAAGCTTCACTACACATTCTTTTTTAAACTCACCACAAAAAGGCAGTGAATAGTAAATTAAAAGTTTTGGGGTTTTACTGTCCACTTCACATGTAGAGGTGATGAGTGTGAAAGGGACAAGTGTATATTGGTTGGAATGAGATTTAGCCTCAGAGGGCACCATTTTGAATAAGTGGCAATAATTACATATACATCTACTTCGTGTCGTGGCATCTCCTCTATTGTGAAGATTTTCATGTGCAATACACATCTCTCGTGTCCAGGTACTGAGTCCAAAAAACATTGTTTTTGTGTAGAATGAGTCTAGAAGTTAAAAAGGGAAGTAATGCAAAATAGAATTCCAGCTCATCCAGGGGCCTGTCCTAAGTTAACCAGATACCTCGATAAACCTCCTTTTTAGCACGAGGCTACTGGTTACCAATTAAACATTTAAGCCTTTGTCTCATGCACTGTTAAGACAACCTTTTTAAAATACAAGGGTACAAGCTGACATTTGGCTTAAATTTCAGTTAAGGGCAACCTAATATTTGGCTAAGCTCCTGTTCTCAATAATAGCGGATATTCTGAAACATATTCTGAAGAATTTCTCCTCATTCACAAAAATGTTTTACTCAGTAATACATATAACATGTTAGCTCAATTTCTGTGGCACTATTTATCTAGATCACAAGTAACTGTGTACCCTCCTGTCATTTTATCTCCCCAAACCTGCTACTACCTGCAGTGGACATCTGATAAGGACCTCACATGCATGGCTCAAACGTTGGGTGTGAGGGACATCACAGAGATCAAGTTTGCTGAGAACAAAATTAATGGCCAGTCAAGAGGGTGAGTGGTTTTCTAAAATATAAAGCAATCCCCCCCCAAAATGAAAGAATTTCCTGTGAGTTTATTTGTTTATTTTAAGAAATGAAGCTTGTTTGGATTTGATCTTTGTAACTTAGCGATGGTAGCCAATACATGTGTTGTTTCTTCCACTCCCCAATACAGCTATGCAGAAATGGTGGTAACCTCGGAAGAGTCATTAAAAATATTATTGGAAAAAATACCCCAATGTGAACTCAATGGGGCAAGGATAGACTGTCGCTTTGCCACTCGCCAGAATCTCACCATGTTTGAGGACACAGCAAATAAACGTAAGAGCACCACAATCTTAAAAAAAAAAAAACTGTTGAATTTATGTTAAATTTATATCATAATGCAAAATGTCAGAATGACTGTTGTCTTTCACAAAAACAATGTGCTTTCTGTAGGTATACCCATGCGTGTTAATTCCAAAGATCCTAAGGACTTAGATTCTTCTGAAAAGATTCCCTCATTATTATCACAGGAGCCCAGCCCTCCCCCTATACCTCCACTTTTCCCATCACATCCACATGCAAACAGGTTTCCCTCACTGCCCAGCCCTTACCTTGGTCAGCCACCTCCCTTCCCACATATGCCACCAAACATTCCTCCACCACCCCATTTGTTCCCTCCTCATCCAGTCCATGTTCCTAGCCAACCGTCTCCCAGTCTGCATATAAATCCAGCATTCTTCACCCCAGCACAAGACGGACACAGCAGCAAAGGGTACAGCCAGCAAAAGTGAGACCATGCACTGTTTTTTATTTATAGCTTTTTGCAAGTATAGTAAAGTGTTTTTTCCCAGTGAGATGAAACTTGATAATATTGTTGTAGAAAGGGGATTTTTAAAGCAGCAAAAAGACCAGGATGCAGAGAGGAATACAAAATAATACAACACATGCAGATAATAAAGCACGGAACTTCACAAAAATTATTAAAGTTATTCTAAGTAATATTTTGTGGTGATGGTTAAATAATCTGTCAGTCAGGATGACAGCAATCTTTGTGTTTTTCAGACACGCACCTCAAAGTACAGGTGGGGATTTTGAGGAGCTGATGAACAGGAATAGAGCTGTCGCCAGCAGTGCCATCACCAAGGCTGTGTCTGGAGCAACGGCTGGTGAGTACAGCTGATCGGATTATGTGAAGTGGAAGAAAGAACACAACTTAATAAGCCATGTGGAGAAAGGACTGGTGCCTACCTATGACTGACAGACATGTGAAAAACAAATCATTAAAAAGCTGTTCCCCACTGCTCTTACAATGGAATTGGAGACTAAATAGATTTAGCTATTTAGCTATTATTTTTGTATTTTGTTATGTTATGGGCAATAGCTAAAAAAATGAAACATGATACATTAATAAGTACATTTGTTTGCGTTTTTGTTTTTGAAAACATTAATGCTAAAACACTGCACTGTAAATACTGTCATTTACATAAGTACTCAAAGTCTAAAGTCTCTTAAAAGCTTCTGAACTATTCATCGACAACATAAAATACTGATGACTAAATAGGCAACAATCAGAATGAAAACTTTTGTCCTATTTTGTCAGATTTGATTGACAGAGCCCTGACAACCAAACCAAATAACCCCACAGCTGGCTTCACCTTTGATTCAAATGTTGCCAAATTCTGATTGGCACATTGAAAAACATGACAACATCACCTATTTCCCATCCGAGCACTGCCCACCTCAAACCAGTGAGAAGAGCTTAGATGAAACTCAAAATACAGTAAATCTCTTGTAAACTAACCAGAACTGTTGTAAGTTTGACAGTGTTAATGTAGGACTTATCACTAGGAATAAGAAGCTATATGAGCAAATAGGTTTCCAGGGCCTTGAAGTTTGGACGTCTGCTTCTACCAGCTTTGCACACCAGGTTTTGTGTGACCTGGTGCAGCTTTCTTCAAGGGACCTCTCTGTATTGTTCCCCCAATCCAAATTTCCAGTACCTGCCATTGAGAAGCATCAATATATCGTATTTAAACCACTACATTTTGTCAATAGGATTATAGTAATCAGTTGATGTGTGGTAGTAGTTTTAACCTGACATAGCGCTTGGCATTAATACACAAGGGTAGGCAATCAGAGTTTTTGTTACATGATCCAGGAGTCAGATTATTGCCTTCATGGCAAACTCAAGGCAGATGCCTTTTATGCGGGAGTGGCTTCCATTGAGCCGCTATATCATAGAGACTTGATCGATGGATCAACATTCAGTGCTTCAACAATTGTTTTAAAAACATGGCTTTCCTTGATTTGTGCTTCAACACAATTGTGATCTCAGAGGTCTGCAGAGAGTTCCTTAGACTTTATTTAGACACAAGTGTAGCTTTCAAAACCTCAGAGACATCTAAAGGATGATAAAACAAAACAGGATGCATCAATGCTCCATTTTAAGTCTGACTGTAACGGGTCTGTACACATGTAAATGAAGAATTTGTAATGATTATTGTGCAATTATTGTTTTTATTACATTCTTGTTTTCATCTTGTTACTGGGTATTGTGGGTAAATTATTGCGGAAAGTATTCAATTTCAAATTGGTCACAAGAAAACTAAAAGAACAAAATTTGGCAAATATGGAGTCCAGATACTGCCTGAAGCCAGTTATGAATACTATGTAACTTAGGGTATGATAGTGTGACTCTGAAGGTGTAGTATAATCTAATCAGGGTGAAACTAATTGTTATTGGTTGTCAAAGGTTTGGATGAATGTATCACAACCAACTGGTGATAGTGATTTTCAGCGCTTTTATAGCTTAAGCCCAAATAGATGTTTGTGCTTGAAATCTTTTGCCCAACCTTACTGTATGTGTCTAGGAGCTTTGATTTACTGAACTACTTAAAAGCAACTTTCTCCAACTGCTAATGCAGGTGACTTAAGGGTGGCCATGGAGACTCTATTAACTGCCATTGCCATCATCAAGCAGTCCAGAGTGTACAGCGATGAACGCTGCCAGGCCCTGGTCACCTCACTCAAAGACTGTCTAGTCTCTATCCAGGGCAACTACGGCTACAGGTTTGTGGAGTTATGCTTCAGGACTCTAAGACATATTGCATTTTGTTGTCCATACAGAAACTATGGGACTAGCATTATGCTTTCTTATCAGTCAATATCGCACAAATACACATTTCTCTGCAGGGGCAGCAGTCGTTCTCGGGATGAAGAAAGAGACCGGGACAGGGGTCGCGACAGAGAGCGAGAACGTGACAGAGAACGTGACAGAGAACGTGACAAAGAAGATTCTTCAGGTTGGGAAGGTGCGGGAATGTCTCGAAGACGCAGAGAACGCTCCTGGAGTGGTGACAGGGACAAGGAACGCTCACGGGAACGGGAAAGGCACCGAGATTACAGAGACCGATACCGCTAACTTGGTAAGCTTCCTCTAATTTATATACTTATACTTTCTCATCCATCAGACATTTGCTATGTGTTATATTGCCAGTTCCGTTGTTGGGTTCGTTGGTACATCTTATCATGAGATTCTGTGTTTTGAAATACATCAAGACCACAGAACAGAAGAACAGAAGAGACTGCATAGAGCCATACAGGGGTGATGGTTGGTGCTATTATTATCATAGAATACAGTTATTCAGGAATTTTTATCTAAGCAAAGGTCACCATGTTCAACCCTTTGGACAATCATGCAGTATAGCCCTGTGACCTTCAATGCAATAGCAGCTTATTGCTTAGTGTCAACCCCCCCCCCCCCCCCCCCCACACACACACACACACACACACACACACACACACACATCTGTCCTCAAATTTAAAATTACTGTTTATCAGACCAGTTCCCAGGATTGACTGTTACCCCACCAGAAAAGACTGAATTTGAGCAGCCTTCCTGCCTTCCAGTACTATGCACCATATAAATTGAAGTAACATTTAGGAACATTAAAACTCGACAGTCCCATTCCATTAGATGAAGTTCAACTTTTAATTTTGGACCTTTTTAAGAGATTTCTGTGATGGTTTGTTATACCATTTGTAATGTGTTGCATGACTGTTGTGTGTCTTTTTATGTGGCGTCAGAGTGCAGATTACTAGGTTTATTTTAAGGTTTTAGGCTGTATTGGATAACCTGTTAAAAGAAATACAGGCCTTTGGTTTCTAGTGCTATTTCATTGCACCCAGATTAGTTCAAGTGAAGGTCAGTAAAGTAGTTATTTTTAGTACTAAGTTCTTACTGTGCAATGAACTGTGAAGTCTGCAACCCATTACATCACTAGACTCTTACTACATCATATTTTTAGTCTTCTTGTCAGAATGTGTTTATGAATTGACCTAGCACGCCAGTAACTCAGTGACATATGCAATCTACAGTATAGTGAGGTAAAGCATATGCATAACTTTAAGAGTGATGCACTGTATGCAGGAAAACTTCTGGCCATATTTGATTTGTGAAAATGTGGCTTTGTAAGGTATATATTTTTTTTTTCTCCCCTCCCTAGACTAGTGGAGTTTCAAAGTGTGAAGAGCGAAGACAGAATTTTTGTTTCTGCACCAAGATGTATAAAATTCCAGAGGAATCTAAGGTGAGACTGAAGATGTATCTCCAAAAGACTAAAATGTACTTTTTGTTGTTTCTCCAGTTGTGTGTACATACTGCGACTTTTACCTGTTTTAAGAAAAAAATGTGGTTGTAGATTTGTTGCTGGGACATCAGATTCCAGTGCTTGCATGCGTGGGAACACCTCTTAACAACTTCTGTAATACAGTGTTTTCATCACTTTCTTTTGTATTAAATCTACACATTAAAAAACATTACCTGAAAATACATTTCCAGTGTTTTATTTCCTCAGGCATTTAGGTTGTATTACATCTGTTCACTGGGGACCACAAACATCATCTAATTGCTTATTTTTGTATTTTCATTTACCAGTAAGACATGAAAACAGTATTTGAACTTAGTGAACAACCTTAGTTAATACTTTTATTGCTATTAATCATTGATCATTCTGATGCCCTTTTCGTAGAATTTGAGACAGTGGTGTGGTTAACCCAAACCTGAAAAGTTTAATATGTAGAATAAGTAAAGGAAATGTTAATTTAATAGCTGTGATTTTCTCCAAGATTTCAGACGCAGCTTTGCTTTAATGCATAGCACACAAGGGTGAGATCTAATTTTCACCTTATAGTTCCAGTAGAAAGACTGGTAACTTGATAAGCCAGTAATACAGGTAACCATGTCAGTTCACAGTTTTATTTAGAAAAGAATGCATCAAATAGTTGCACAAATGAATGTTCCAGAAGTATTTGCTGTGGTTGGCATTTGTTGTCACATCAACATACTAACATGAATATGTCCATGCCTCAGTCCCACAAAGTCCATGCAGTTCTTGAAGGCCAGTTGCAATCACTTCTCCAGTGGAGCATAATTCAACAATTTCTCAATAAGATCCACATGTGATAGGAGCATCCTTCGACAACAGTATCTCTTCAGGCCCAAGGCATCAAGGGCATCACTTAAGAGGGAGAGAGGAGGTAATGTTAGTCCTAATGCATTGCATACAGATCACAGAAAGAATAAGTGAAGTACATGGACATTAGTGCAGACAACAGTCAGGATAGCAGACTAAATGGCCTCAGGTAATTGCTATTATTCATTTCATCACTGCATCCCGAGATTGAATGTAGACAACTGGAAACTTTGAAGGAAACAAACATACCATGTGACAACAGAATGGGCTAAAAGGTTTTTATGTGTTCTTCCACTTGGCTGCTTCTAGAAAATTATTTTGGTGCAGCCACTCCCATGCAAGTTTCCTATATAATTTTTTTGACTTAGCAGTGTGTTACTTAAAGCGTGAATATTATAAATTGCCAGGAATCACAGCTATTCGCAACATCTGGAGATGTAGTGTAATGCCAGAAACCCACTGGTAAACCAGATTGTTAGTTGTGGTTTTAAATTATCTTTATGGACAGAACATCAAACACTTGCAACACAGTGGATCACTTAAGAAATCTGATGTATACATTCAATACATAATAACATACATGCAAAACAATTATAATAAAAAAAGTTCAACATATATGCAAGAGTAAAATTAAGTGTTTTTTCAGTCCCTTTTCCTCAACAAAATTAATATCTTAAAAGAAACATTTATTGAATATTTGTTATAGGGGAAAATTATATCGAGATTATTTTCATTATTGTTTTATTGCCCAGACCTACCCCTCAGTATACTCCGCTTGAAGCAGGCCGAGGTATGCCTCCCACTTGTTACCTACGATCTTCCCACACGTGAAGCACCGGACGGGGATGATCATTGTAGGACACCTGGGGACAGAGACACATGACCCTGTCAACATTCATGCCGGAGTGCAAAATGTAATGCTAGCAGGACAACTTGCTAGCATCAATTTATTAAATAACATTATCATTGTGGTTAACATATGGATGTGTTTAGACAGTCTACGAACAATCCCAATATATTTACATTTATTCATTTAGCTGACGCTTTTATCCAAAGCGACTTTTGTTATACATGTCAGAGGTCGCATGCCTCTGGAGCAACGACGGGTTAAGTGTCTTGCTCAGGGACACAATGGTGGATGGGTCGCAGTGGAGGTCACACCAAAGGCAGGCATCTTATCCATTGCGCCATCACAGCAAATAGTAAATTTAGCAATAAAACGAACGCGATTTTTCCTCCCGGGAAATCGAGCAGCTCACTTAGTGGTATAACGTTAGTTACGGGATAGCTAACATTCCAGCTACATTACGTTTTAGCTTTAATGGACGTGTTTTGTTAGGAAATGTTAACGCAAGTATTAAGCTAACGTTACACTCGTTTTTGTACATACAAGTGTTCATTTAATGCTGTCTTCCCAGGGTGAGTTGGTGGTTTAATGTGTAATGTTAGCTAAAGCCCATGGTTTTAAGCTAGCTGTAGCCACGAGTTAGCACAAACTGTTAGCTAACGTTAGCCGCTACTAACATGTTGACCAAAACACAAAGTCTGAAACATGTCAGAAGTGTCAAGTTTTATTTACTCACCGTCAATGATCTAGTTTACCTACAGCTTAAATGTTGTATTATTCTGAGTGAAAATAGCTGCAAGAAAGTGATGGCACCTTCCCTCGTTCTCTCAATAACAGCAGCACTTCCGGCCAGAATCCTCCAGAACAAAAGTTCACTGAAAATACACGCAAAGACTTTATTAGACACGAAGACCACCCAGAAACTATTTCACACCAGAAAATTCTGTCAAAGCTTCAGCATATTTATCATTGACCATATTTATGGAGATTTTGCACTGATGTGGGAGAATGTGGTATTTTGCATTTATAAAAGAAAAGAAGATCTATATAATAAATAAAAATGGCAAAATTCCACATTCATAAATGTAAATTCAGCAATAAAAAAATCTTTGTACTTTTTCTCTATGCTGTTGTGATAGACTGCATTGGTTTGAACTATGTGTACCTATTAAAATGGCAACTAAGTGTAAATTTGCAAGGTATTTGCCAAAAGCTGCCACACTGTAACTGTGTAGAATGACAAACTGCAGACACAAGTAGCATCCATCCTACCATTCTGGGTGATGGAGTTTTTACTTATTTTAGCTATGTAGACCTCAGAACTGGTGTATATCTCCCCTTGTTGCACCCGTTACAGCAGGTCTAGGCCTGTCTTTTGTAGCCTATATTATTTTAGTGACCCCAGAGAACTCCCAGCATAGTTCACAAAGCTTCTGAGTAGAATCGGCCACAATGAAGAAACATCTTTGTCGGTGTACAGTTCAATCGGTAATGTCTTTTGTAGGCCAGTACAGAAATTGGTAATTGACAGGGAAAAATAACCAAATGAAGCAATGACCAATCTTGTAAATATTTTAGCAAGTGTCCCTCAAATGTAGTTAAAGATGAGCTGACCATAAAAGTTGTTGTCAAAGACAACTAAATATAGTAGCTTGCACTCTGTAAATAAGTGAACAGTGGATATTTTTCAGGTGATTAAATGTATTTCTGTTGTAAACCTCCAAATTGTTAGCTTTCAATCATAAAACAAAAAACAGCCTTGAGTTTTGTGCTTTTTTGTTGATGTAACTCCAAAGCTTATAGAATCTTCTACTGGCTATACTACTTCAGTAAAATGTGAAACATGAAAATCACCAAATCAAAAAGTCTGAAAATTTTGTTCTGTATTTCAAATTAGAAATGATGATAGGAACAGAAAACATTCAACATAAATCATGAAATGTGGAAAATAAAATTTTGATTTATTAATGCAGAGTTAAGATTAAGACCAAAATTGCTAAAATGTTAACCAAAGAGGGTGTTCTAGCATGCTAACATGCCAAACATATATCTTTATTATTATTATGTTGTCTAAGAGTTCAAATGAATCATGCTACCTCAAATGAATGATCGGATGAACCAAAATACCACTTCTAATTCATTCATTCAGCTGAAGCTCTGTCTGATCCCTAATTCTGAATAATTATTAATAAAGAGTGCAGTTATTCTCAAGTAAATACTCACTTGGGCTGGTTCACTGCCTTTAATAGGTTAGATTACAACCTCTTTCATTTTTACATTTAGGATTGTGTGGTGGGGGGGGGGGGGGGGGGGGGAGTGTGCATAAGGAAAATATGTTAGAAATATATAAAAATATATCATAACCATCATTAAAATCATTAGTCACCATCATCATCATCTGTAACATCGCCATCATTGCCATCACTAACATTATACATCTTCACCACAAATCATCATGATCATTACATCATCGTTTATGTAATTTAACTTTCTACAGCACATGTGCTAAATGAGGAGTCCTATCTGAATTATTGCATTTATACGCTGTTTAAATTATGAAAATAGTTTTTTTCCTTTTTTTGGTACACTGTATTGTACAATGTAAGGTGAAGTTTGTTTTGGTGTTGGCATACTATCTTTTCTGGATGTGTTTGGGGTGTTGAATGTGTATGTTCATACAATATTGTTGGCCAGTAATGTCTTGTAAAACTCATACGTACCCTCACAACTAAAATCAAGTAATGTGTGTCAGAACTATCTTTCTGCTATCTACTTATGCGAAGAGGACACCCCCATGAGCTTTACATGTGAGGGGACATTATTGTGTACAACTGTACAGGTGAGTGTGTGCAGCAACAAAATTGTGACTGCTTGACAATTTCCTTTTTCCTTTGAGTAAACTATACAACAGTAGTTCTACGCTCCTACCTAGGATGCTCTCGTTACGTTATAGTTGTACTTAGTTAATAATGAGGTTTTTCCTAAAGCCACATAAGGGCAGCACAGTGAAAACAGAAAAAAATCAAAAGTTTTGGCTGCAGGCTTTAAACCTGATACTGCAACACTAATGGCCATTTAGCCTGCTACAGCTACATCTACTGTAAGACGTAAACAGATTGAACCAGCACTACTGTGGCTGTTGTGTGAGACCTGAAAAGTTATTGATTTGTGACATCATTTGACAGTTAAATAAAACTCTGTTATTCTACTGTAAGAAGTGACTTTACTATTATTCTCTGCCACATGCTGTACATATTTTATTTCCAACAATCCCCCAAATCCCATTCCTAAACCACTGCATGCTTATATTTTCTGTCTCTGAAAATAGATTTTTAAATATCACTGTGCTGCTCTCTCTTGACATTTCTTGGATATGTGAGTATTCAGCATCTCTCTCCCTGTACTCCGAAGAAAGAGAAGCTGGATCCCTTCACCTAGGCCTTGTTCTAGCCAGAAATGTGTGCATACAATGCATACCTCCAGCTGTCTTCAGGCCAAATTGTCTTATTTAAAAGTAAAATAAAACCTAGAACAACTCTGATCGCCAGTATTAATATTTAGACGTTTCAACATTTTGAATGCAGTTTTTTAGCAAAGTGAACCAAGCTCATTTCCAGTGCAAGAATATTGCTAGCTTATGTCAATATTGGTGCAAACTGGATTAAACAGGATAAAGCAGTTGAATAAGCTACCTTTAGAGTAGTCTTTAGAGTTTTTTTTTAATAAATATATTGTTACAGTTGAGACGCAGTACTGACGCAACTTCATGCATATACTACGTGTAATTATGCTCCATATACAGCCTTGATAAACGCGAATGGTTCAATTCACTACAAGTGAAAGCAGGCCAAAAAAATTAAAAAAGAAGCATATAAGATGCACAGTGGCTCCCCATCTCCCATGTGTAACATCAAAGTCTGTGAACCACTCAGCAACAACGCGCTAAATCATCAACCTGTAAATACTTTAATTTGAAATAATTATTTGGTTTTAATTTCTCCTCGCCAGTAGCAGAACTCCCAGCAAGATGGCTCCTGCAGCAATAATGGCACCACCGATGAGAAAGGGTTTCAGGTGTTCCAGAGAGTCTGTGCCGGAGGCCGCAGCCTCGTCACCTGCCGCTGCTGCTTCAGCTTCTGCGGCCCCATCCTGGGGAGGTGGATGCTCAGGCTCAGGGGCTGCAGGAGCAGGGTCAACCTTGCGTGGGGCTGCCGGCTCCTTCTTCTCTGCTTTAGATGCCGCCTTGGGCGCTGGAGCCCCGGACTTGGCCTTGGCTTCCATGGAATTGGGGACAGAGGTGTGGTCTGGTCAGGAGGAGTCTGTGCTCTGTGCTGCTTCACTGAGGAAAAACAGCAAACAGACACAGCCAGATTATCTCTCTACTGTAAATTAGGCTCAGACACCATGCTACCTGCGCTGCTAAATGTAAAGATACTGACATATGAAAGATCCATGATTCACTGTACAGCGGTGAAGCAGTAGTGGTAGTGGGGCCTTAAATGTGACCTTGGAAAAAGATGACATTGATGGGAACACTCTGATGCTCAGAGGACAGGGAATTGTTTATTTTGGTCACAGCAGCTGTGACATAATGTCTTACTGAAGAAATAATATTATGATTAGCTTCCTGTGGAAAGCTTTTTCATGGGACAATCTGCTAGTTTTGAAATGGATGAAGAGGGAATGGTACTGTAGCTGCAGAGCTAATTCATAGTAAAGGACTGAATCTCTATTTCATGTGACCCCGACAAGAGTCTAATCCAGATGCAATAATGTGAAGAAGGAGAAAGCGCTTTCTCTGTTCTCTCACTGTAAAACTGCATGAGTCATATGAGCTATAAATGGAGGACAAGATGGAGGAAAGAAATAAGGACCACCGTGGCTGCATAGAAAACAGTGAAAATGCAAATGAGGGGAAAGAATGAAGAGGAATTAACGCTGCTGAAATTAAATGAACACATCATAGCTCGTAGTTTACAGAATGTAGGCTGGACACGTATTTGCAAAAATGTTTCCTATTATATCCTGCAGTGATGTCAGAAGAGAAAATATAGACATTACATACCTTTCCAGCAGCTCTGTCGAGATTACCGGGATAACAGATGAAGGAGAAACGGCAGCGGTGTCTGGAAATGACAATGTCCTTATTATAAGAAAATGAGGGAAAGCAGAGGGATGGAGGACACTGAAAGCGGGAGGGAGGAGAACAAAAAAGGGAGAGGAGGAGACACTGGAATGTACCATCTGGCCCTCAAAATAGGGGGAGTCTATTCTTTGATTACATCCTGGGTTTTAGAGCCTCTTTAAAACAAATCTTAATCCAGTGAGTTTATATTTCAACATGGCAAAGCTTAGTGTTTCATTATCACTACAGTCATGCGATATTATACATATACACACACACACACACACACACACTGGTTCTTGTGAAAATAAGTTTGTCTGGCATTTTTGAGATACAGTATTTGGAAAATTACATTGTCATTGCTTTGGCTCTGTACGTAAGTGCATTTGATTTCAAATTAAACAACTGCTGAGTTTAAAATGCTGTTTTTCACCTTTAGGTGTGTTTACGGGTGTTTATATCCATGTAGCTGACAGTCTCTGTAGTAAATTTTCTTCCAGAGCAAGAGTGGAATGGCAGGGCTACAGAGCATGCAATGATCATCCATAGAAATAAACTCGCAATTAAAGCTTCATTGCCTCATTGTCTGATTTCAAAGCCAATGTGTTGGAATATAGAGCCACACACAAAAACAGCAACATATAATACCCCATGGCTACATATAATACAATTTGCGTTGTATAGAGAATATTTCTAATAATTAGTACATTTAGTAATACAAACATAGTAATACATTTGTTTATTTTATTTTTAGGGCTGATAGTTACAAAATATTTAATGTACATATACTGTGGGGAACCACACCAGTTGATCCAGAACACTATCAGTCCATCTATTTTTATTATATTATATTATTACCTGCTTGTCCTATGTAGAGCTTCTGAGGCTCAACCCTGTCCAGCATGCGCTGACTGAGAGCTCTCTAAAGAACAAACTCAAACTCAACTGAAAACAACATCAGAGATGCATTACCGCTAATTGACAACAACAAATCAGAAGGCACTCAGTATTAGTAGTATCATTGTTGTTGGGGCAGAGATAAACTGGTAAAACAGCAATCATCATCTTCTGTCACTTCCCATAATACTACTGGACGCAGTCAGTCATTTTATAGAGAAATGAGTCATGTCACTTTCTTCTCTATGAAAGGGAGTCACCCTGCATTACGTTTGCCACAGTCTATACAAATGTGCTAAATGTCACATTGCAAATATGCAGAGCAATATCTGTTTCTCACATTAAAGCCTTTATTCCCCAAACACTATCACATAGGTACTGTAAACACCCTGCATTTGACACACTAATTACAGGCTCATTTGAAGCTATTTTCAGCAGATTGCTGCAAAATCACCCCCAGTCTTGAGGTCAGCAGTCTTGGCAGCAGGCTGTTTAAAACTTAAGTGAGAAGTTCCTGTGACAGGACTAGGCCAAGTGTTCTGATGAGGTATTTCCTCATTCATTTGATCTACTTTTAATAGCTTGTTGGAATAGCTTTAGCTTCTGTGCATGCATTTTTGACAGATGACACTACAGCTATTTTCATGTGTAGAGTGTATGACGTGACACGTATCCACGCCCAGTATAAGTCGTACCAAAGAAGATCGTAGTATGTCAAGATGGTAATCAGTAAGAGTCGAACTCGTAAATGTTACTCGAAATTCAAACATATAAGTAGGTTACCCCTTCCCTGTTTATGTCAGGATCTTCTTACCCAATATGCCATAATACATGCATATACAGTTGGTGTGTAATTATGTGAACAAAACTTGTTGTTTGTGACGCAAAATAGATTAAGTTTAAAAGGACTAAACAAAATGTATAATAATGGACGTCATGTTCACTACATACATTTTGGTAATAGTAAAAAGCTAGCCTATACATCTATAAGGTCACATTATATTTTTGGTAGTTTTAAATATAGGTTTGGAGAAAATATTGGTTCAAATTCAAGTAAAGCTTTGCCTGTATTGCCGTTTCGTCGCTGTGGTAACAAACTTTGCTGTGGGTAAATACTAAACTGCGCATGCGCTAATGAGAATTTTGCGTTTAATATAGCCCAATGCTGTTTTTTAATAAATACTATCCGAAACAAGCCGCTCCCTTAAATGATAGAATAACTGATCAAACAGAAGAGTGGAAAATCCCCCCGGTTTCTTTCTGGGTCACCTCACAAAAGGGAGCTGAAACCTCTTAAAAATACACCACGCTCTTTGAATCATTGGCTGATTTCTTGATATTCACAAACCACCGGTGGCGCCCATCGTCCGCAAGAAATCTGAAGCGTCTACGGCTTACTAAAGCGAGTCAGGTGTGCGTAAACACAACGTTGTATGGGATCTGCGCAGCCCAACCCAACACGGAATGGAAATAGCTCATTCGTACGTTGTTGTTTTTTTTCTATGGGAGAAATATCCGAGGGGATGGGCCAAATTCTCGGGAAATGCAGCCTCCGTTTAGCTGCTATCCGTGCTGGGGTACGGGAGTTGTCCGGCTGATCGTACCAGCTACTGACTACAACGCCAGAGGCGAAGAGCTCGTCTTGTCCGTTAAACCCGAGGAACTGTTATTTCTCTTTCGTGGATAGATATCCTCACGCCAAGCGCCGCCGGAGGGACAAGAAAACGACCCACTCACTGAGTGTGCCACAGCCGACGTGTTGCAATCAAGCAGAGGACCAAGCAGTCATTCTCCTGCGGGTTGAGAACGACCGTGTAATTGATTACGCTTTGATGGCATGTATCAGGGTTTCCTGACACCCGGCAGATAACGGAGGAAAGCTCCAGCTCTTTGATGTCTGTGGGTCCATTCATCCTCCTGGTGTAATGACGTCTGTACGGTTATTATAATTGTATCGGTGAGACATTTGTGAATCCAGCCCTCCCCTCCCAACCCAACCGTGAGCCGGTGTCGGGGAGAGCGAGGCTGAGGCGGTCGGCAGTTGGAAGGATATGGGAGAGGAGCGGAACCGATGCTGCGGGTCTTGGCAAGGCATCGTCAAAATTCAGGTGAGCAGCAGCTACCGGGATGAGGAGACAGTCTGACTGATAACATGCCTTGAGCTACGCGCACAGCACGGCCAGTGTGACCCGGTTTCTGAGTCCATGTTTTAGTGCTCGTTTGAGACACATTTCTTAGGCCACATCTCCATTAGCTAAAGGCCCGCAGGATGCCACCTTAAGCAGCTGTCCTGATTAAATGAGATTAGACACTGCTGCCTCTGCTGTTAATCGACTTGTTGGCATTACACATTTTGATGCTGTTGCAGGCACGCACACAGGGCTGCAGCCTGTGCTAACTATAGCTTCAGTGGTTGAGTTATTGTTTGTTTGTTTGTTTGTTACATATTTTATTTATATTTTACAGTTCGTTTGCTGTTTAAAATGCCAAAATTATGACAAATGCCAGTCACAAGTTAAGAGAGCCCAAAGCAACAGTTTCTTAGCCTTGGTGTAAACTGCCAACACCCCAAAGTATTAAGTTAAAGTGATTAATGACAGACCCCATTACCAATATTGGTTTTGGCTATTGTTTCTGCTTATTTAGTAGCTAATGACCAGTCCATTGGTGTTTTCATTACCAGAAGACTTAAAGGCCAGCTGAATGATACATTCTTCAGGCTATAGGCCTATACTTTTGGTTTGGCAGTAGATCACATGCTTCTTTTTATCTCTTTATTTTGGACCTGGCACAGGGGCACTAAGGGGAATGTCACACCTGTTTATCATTCACACTAGGAATACTTATTTGGGCCCAGAGGTGTCAGTTGGAGAGTGACAAGCTTGTCCTAACAAGGATAATGAAGACCCCCTAATGGCTTTGAAAATAACATGACATGCCAGTTTAAGAGAGTGACATTATTATTATTATTATTATTATTATTATTATTACAGAGCACATTCAGGGAAGAAGAATGCAAAAAGTGGGAAATGTTTGCCATTACACACACAGTGCCACATCCTGTAGTCTAGACCTCCTTGTAATCTTCTGTTTTATGCCAAGGCACAAGATCAGTTTGTTATGAGCAGTGGCACAGAGTGTCAGATGAGTACTGGACTATATCCAGCTTTTACTTTTTTTCATCACATTTCATACTGATTTCTGCACTGCATGCCTCCTCTTACCTTATTGAGTATAGACAAGCTTACATATTTAATCAAATTTAAATAAAATATCAGGCTGCATCAACACCAGTGTTTACACTTGGTTCCCTGGCATCCCTGTAGACTTCGACCCTAGTGGAAACCAAGTGCCTCTGGCAGAGACAATATGTTGTCTCTTTGTTTTCCAAAGCATTGTGTGTGACCTCTCCTTGTGCCAGAAACTGACTCCTCTGTTCTAATATTGACTGATTATTTTATCCATTTTTTTTAAATTATTTTTTTATATATATAATTTGGACAACAGCTTTAAATACATGTATGAAGTCCTGTCCACCTAAAGCATGTTATTTGTTGATAACTGCTCATCTTGGAGTGTAATTTAACATGACTACATCATGGCCAAAGATTTCAGTACAATTACAGATCTGCAGCCACTCCTTTTAAAGTCCTGTGAGATATAACTGCCTAGGCTGTTACTGGTTAGGACTAGGTTTGATGGTTAGGGTTGATCAAAGTTTTCTCTACAAATGTTTCATGTTCATTGTTTTTTCCCTCAGCTTCCAGCAGTTATCTGGAAATAAACACACCGTTTTCATTGATGAAGGTGTAAATGTAAATGCTGTGTATGTATGTAGTTTTTGTGTATATGAAGCTGAAATAATCATAAACCCACGTTGACATAACAGTATGTACTTCTATGCAGTAACAAACATATCAAAGGAGTAAATAAGTAGCGGTCCGTAATGATGGACATAGGTTTGGTAGCAGAAGTTGTAGGCATGTAAAATCTCAACAGCATCTGTATTGTCGTTATGAAGTGGATGTGAGTGCTCATGAGAAAAGATATAAAATACTCGTATTTTTTAAGACTTAAACATGAACCTTTGTATTTATATATTTATTTTTCACATATGAGCCAAACTGAGGAGTGATTTGAATGAAACTCTTAGTTAAACTACAAATATTCACCTCAGGCATTAATTTAATTCCTTGTCCGACAAAATGCGTTATTCTTGTTGTTTGAAAGTATAATGCCACGAGCCCTTGAAATCGAAATCCGTTTTGTTGTCAGTCTACATGTCAGCGTAAAAGGCACCTTTTAATTTTTTGTAATACTGTATCATGTTCATTGGGGGGAAAAAGTGTTTTGATAACAGATAATTTCCTTAAAGTGTCCTGAAAATAGTTTTATTCTCAATTCAGAAGATACGGGAAGCAAGAGTTCCAGTAACCTCCCGCCTAACCTCATTTGTCAAACGAGGAGCTTAAAATGCAAGTTCTTCAGAGATAATGAGCCGATTAACATTTTCAAGTTTGCAGATGCTAATAACTTCTGTTATATCTGGTGCGAGTACGAGACTTTGATTTATGTAAGGTCTTCCCTATGCCTTGAGATTTCGTAGCATGTGCTTTTAATTTTAGCTCTTTTTACCAGTGCATGATGGGACAGGTGATCCAAATAAGCCATATGTAAAAGGGCATCACTGGGATAATAATGTGAGACAGGCAGGTGCTTTGGTGGAGGGTGTGTGTTTGTTTGTGTTCCCTCCCGAACAGACATGAATGTATTGCATATCTGTAAGCAGAACTGAAATCATGTGATTAATAGACCGCTGTTCAATACAAGTGTGTGAAAAATGCCAATATATTCAGCACACTGCTGAAACCCTATAGCTGCAGTGGTGTGTTGCATGGACAAAACTGCTGCTATTTTCAGTATCTGACCAGATACAGTGACAAACGGATCTGTACGTGATTTGTGGCAGCAAGCCACAGACAGGTTGGCAGAGCACATATGTTACCACCCCAGCACCAAAAAAACCCATTCATGTATACACAAACACACACACATGCAATCAACAGTGCACATACTATCACATCAACTAAAAGAAGAGAGAATGGAGTGGGAAGAGGTGAAAGGGATTGAGTGGGCGGCAGTGGGAGAAAAAGATGGGAGAAAGAGGCAGAGGGAGAGTAGGAGTGAGTGGCACATGGCTTTCAGTCTAAAAAAAGATGAGCAACACGAAACCAAAACCAGAATCTGGATTAGCTAGATAAGAAAGAGGAGGGGGACAGGGGAAGGCTCAAGGAGAAAATGTAGGTTTTCTCTGCATCGAAAATGGTGCAGATGCACGCGCTCGGTTTCATGCCCATAAATGTCCTCTAAAATATGAATACTGAATGAGTGTGTGGGTAGGAGGAGAAGAAGGAGAGAGCATGAGGATGAGAAAGGCAGAGGGTGTGATGGAGATAGGAGCGAGAGAGATTCTTTAGGATGGACAGAATACTGCTGTAGTGTGACCGGACAAGGGAAGACAGGATCAGTGGAGACAACAGGAGCAGAGCCAGGGATGGAGAGAATCTTGATCTGAGCAGAGTGTAACACTGACCCGAGCAGAAAAAGAGAGAGACTGGAACAGATGGATATATGACAGAGAGCAAGAGACGAGAGAGAATTGGGACTGCGCCGCAGTCATCGCCATCATGCCAACCCGCGATAACCTCAGGCTTTTCTGTAGACATTCTCAGAGGCCTGTCTGTCCAGGATTGTGCCCAACACCTCACTTCATGCCAAGCCGTCTTCATCCCTTCAGCAGATATTTCTCTTGTTGATTCCTATTGATTCTGACACTGTAACAAGCTACCTGCAGGACAGGAAAGTCACTGCATAGCTATGGGCCTGAATGTGTGCCCGCAGAGCTTCTCTTTAAAAATAGTTCACCAACTAACTCTGCAGTTCTTTAACCTGAGGAATATAGTCCCTCCCAAAAGTATTGGAACAGTAAGGCAAATTCCTTTGTTCTTGTTGTTCACTGAAGACATTTGGGTTTAAGATCAAAAGATGAGTATGAGACAAGATTTCAAAATTTAAAGCTTTTATTTCCTGGTATTCACATCTAGATGTGTTAAACAACTCAGGACACACCACCTTTGTTTCAAGTGAGCAAAAGTATTGGAACATGTGACTGACAGATGTTTCTTGTTGCCCAGGTGTTGCCTTTTAGGTTGATGTCCAAACATTAAATAGACTAGTCTAAGTTTTCATCCTTGGTTGAAACCTATAAAGACTGCATTTCCTGTTAAAGAGGATAAACCAACATTAAGACCAGAGTGCTGTCTATGGGAGGAAAGAAGGAAAATTGACCAGAGCCATTGGACAAACACTGGGCATAGCAAGCACAACAATTTGGAATGTCCTGAAAAAGAAAAACTACTAGTGTACTGAGCAACAGACGTTAAACAGGTCGGCTAAGGAAAACAACAGTAGTCCATGATAGAAATATTGTGAGAGCTGTGAAGAAAACCCCCAAAACATCATTAAGTGACATCACCAACAACCTCCACAGTGCAGGGGTGAAGGTATCACAATCCACTGTTTGAAGAAGACTCAGAGAGCAGAAATATAGAGGCCGCACCACAAGATGCAGACCACTCATCAGCAGTAAGAATCGTAAGGCCAGATTGAAATTTACAAAGAAGTACAGAGATGAGCGGCAAAAGTTCTTGAACACAATCTTACGGACTGATGAGACCAAGATTAATCTCTACCAAAGTGATGGAAAGGCCAAAGTGTGAAGAAAGAAAGGAACTGCTTATGATCCGAAGCATACAAGCTCATCTGTGAAGCATGGTGGAGGTAATGTCATGGCTTGGGCGTGCATGGCTGCTTCTGGAACAGGCTCATTAATATTTATTGATGATGTAACTGATGATGGTAGCAGCAGAATGAATTCAGAAGTGTACAGAAACATTTTTGTCTGCCAATTTACGGAGAAATGCATTGAAACTAATCGGAAGGAAGTTTATCATGCAGCAGGACAATGAACCAAAGCAAACTGCCACCAAAACAAAGGACTTCATCAGGGGGAAAAAAGTGGAAGCTTTTAGACTGGCCAAATCAATCA